GTTTAGGGCTCAGGGTTGACGGTTCATGACTCACAGGGTGCAGGATTCAAGGAATACGGTTGGAGTTCAAGGTTTGGGGTGTATGTAGGTCTGGCCTGTAGTACTGCCCGGGCACATACTTCACCAGCTGCAGCGGCTCGACGCACTCAGCCTGCACGACGCCAAGGCCACCAAATGCTGTAGAAAGTAGGGCAGCTTTGGCTGAAGGTTTAGCTTACTTGTCCCGTTTCTCAGGGAACTAGAGGCTGACTCTTAAGCTACTCTAGGAGTTGTAGCAACAAAAGTTAAGGTTTACTTCTCTCAAATCTCTACTTCTGGGTCCGGGCTTCGCAAGTTTCGGGTGCGGGCCTTTGGACGTAGGGTGCAGGGCCCAAGCACTCAAGCCTAGATCCTACTCAGCACTGAAGGTCCAGTGCTGATTAATACTATATAGCTTAGTATAACCGAATCAAACCGAATAGAACAAGATATTGATATAGTATAGTATAGTATAGTATAGTATAGTATAGTATAGTATAGTATAGTATAGTATAGTATAGTATATCACAGTATAGTATGACAGAATATAGCTTGAGATATGATCAGATAGTATCATCTAGTCTGCTATACGGTCCCGATTACAACTTGAACATCTAGGTCGCCACTGGCATCGTTTGCTTCACAGGCTTTTATCTCGTCCGCGTCGAAGATTCGGGAGAGCTCGTCTGATCTGCAACCTCCAGCCCGGCCCCTGTGCACCGGCACTGCGCAGCGATGCTGCGGCGTCTCTGTTGAAGCGCTCGAGGCGTGGGCTATGGAGTGCTATGTCCATGGGCACCTAGGCACCGGAATCGATGGTATTGTCACCGGCATCTCTTTGGGGAAATCAAGCTCCGGGATCTCCATGATCTTCTCCGAAGCCAAGGTTTCTGAATCGCTTCGCGAAGTCGTGGTTCTCCTTTATGAAGAGGGCACGGTGCATCTCGCCGTCGGCCCACTCCGTCACAGCGCGTGCCGCCCGACCTGCCAGATCGTCGCTCTTGCAAAGATCCATCGCGTCCTTCAGGTGTCTAAGACTGAGGAGGAGGGCTCAAGCTTTCAGGATTTAGAATGCTCCAAGCCAAGCCCAAGGAGAACTTCCATCACATACCAGGAAAACTCTGCGAAAGCGCCCCAACGATCCCCGAATTGTGCAAAAGAGAGCAAAGACTAAACGCCAAATCCTCATCGTCCCAACTTGGAGGATCATGGGACTTAGGAACTAGGGTTATAAAGATGGTAACTATAATTCTAACCCCAATTAGGGTACTTATAACCTTATACTTACTAAGTCCCATGATCCTTCAAGAAAGGCTGCGCGACCACGCTCTTCACGCCCATCGAGCAGCCGCTTGGAGGCCCAACATTCTCCCAACATCTTGTGCGGCACAGATTGCAACCGATACCTGAGCTTCGAAAGCCCCACAGAAACGATGGGTGTAGGATGGTCTTGGTTTTCCGATGCAGGAGGGCTTACAGTATGGGGTTCAGGATTTAGGGCCTTTAGTTGCGCAGGGACAGCACATACTATTTTGCTGCTATGTGCTGTGGCTTTTGTTTTTCGCCGCTTGCATGCATTTCCGCCCGATGAGCACGTGAACCCGGAACCATAAACCAAACGATAGCTCAAGCAAAAGCAGCTCCATCTCAAAATCCACCTCATACACAACTCTACCCTAACGTGGGATATGAAACTTATGTACGTAGACAACAACTGCAAAGCACAATGTCCTAAACCCTCGCACGCCAAACTGCCCACAGCCGACAGGTGCCGCAAACCTAGTCTACCACACCTCTGCGACCAACCGGCACCATCAAATTTACAAGGATTCTGTGACCCTGGAGAGCTATCAGTTTCAAAAGTAAAACACCTCTAGAGAGTGCAGCACCCTGCACATAAACAGCGGAATTCTTACCCACACCTAGTGGCCACGGATGCAAACAGGATCAGCTTCAGCAGTATAGCCTGTCTCCTGATTGGGTTGCATCACTGGAGGGCACGTGCTATGAATGCTTTGCTGCTGTTCATTTGTTGCGGCTGTTGCTCTTCTTGCCGTGATCATAATCATTGTCGTTGTCCTTGTCCCTGTCCTTGTAGCTATCCTTGTCCTTGTGGTGGTGGTGGCAGTGCCAGTGGCAGTGGCAGCGGCGGTAGTGGTGGCGGTGGCCGTCACATTGACGGTGGCGCTGATGGCGGTGCTGGGTGGCAGTCATGATGGGTGGTGGTGGTGGTGGTGGTGGTGGTGGTGGTGGTGGTGGTGGTGGTTGGTGTTGTTTGCTGCCGTTACTATAATGCTGTTCGCTGTAGCTGGTTTGAGTTTAGCATTTAGGGTATCCTTCGGCCCGGGCTTCCACAGGCAAACGTCTGATACGATTCTCGTCCCAAACCCAAACCACGGAGATCTTGAATCTTAAACTGATTCACGGCGGGGACATTACCTCTGAAAACACGATGCGATGACTTGTGGGGGGCAGTCGCCCAGTGCTTTTGGGCAACATTGAAGAGTTTTCTGAACAGAACACTGAAGCCTTCAGCATCCTTCAGCCATTGGGAAGAACCTGCCAATAACAACAACCTCAAAAGGAAGAATACTATCTCCCACTGGGGCATGGCTCCGGCGGGTCCTGCTGCGTGGCTTGGCCGCCAAAGCCATCAGCGGCGGGGCGCAGCCCCAAAGCAACGTCACAGGGTATGCACCTTCACTTGGAGGAGCAGAGGATTTAGCAAGTAAGTAGAGTGAAGACGTTACTTCTGCCTTTTCGAAAGACGTAAGAAACGTCCCCAAAAACTCTTCCTTCAGAAATGCAGGCCCCAGGCTCGACCCTTCTGTTCAAGTAAGGTGCCGCCGTCAGTCCCAACTATATCTAAGTCTAACGGAAATACCGATAGCCCTGTTTGCTCGATCCTCTGGTGGGACTTGGAAGGTCGGCTGGTAGGTTCATTTCAGAGCAACAGAGAAGATTCCAGGTGTGAGTGTTTAGCATATAGGGCCTGTCGGGTTTATGTTTCAGGACTCAGCACCTGCGAAGTCGATAGCGCCGAAGAAGGCATCTGGCGACAAGCTGGCGGCCGCCGGCAGCACAGATGCTGCAACGAAGGCCCAGACGGAAATCCGCTTCGGAATCCCATCACCTGCGTCGACTGCTGTTCTCAGCCACTACTGCAGTGGAAACAGCAACTAACGATAGAAGTGTAAGGCTAGCAGCTACGAAGCTTAGCCAACAAAAACCAGGGTTCTGGTGGTCGTCACCCGCATGATTTTCGTATAGATTTACAGAAACCACACCTGAAAACCTGATTTCTGCGGGCGTAGGCTTATGCTGTGGCTTACATGGGATGCTGTAGTAGGGAAAAGGACCAGGGTTCAGATCAGTCAGGGCTCTACAGTATCTCTGAGCCCTGAAGCGGAGGAGCTGCTGAAGCTACCCTTGCAACCTGGAGCTTCCACTCTACCCACCCCACAGTATCAAAGCAGGGCAGCGACCTAGATTGCAGAGTTGATTGAGGGTTCACGATAGTTTCAAGTGAAGTTACATGTACCTCCACCGAGTGTAGAGAAGACTTCTAGCTGTAGCTACTCCTCGTTGCTAAGTCGCCTGACCAGACCCCAACCAATCCCTGGACGTCTGAGCCGTATCCCCTGCTGCTCCCGACACCACAAAACCTCAGCACTTTGTTCGAAACCATATGTCGAAGACCAGACACGAACAGGAGATGTCCCTGTTCCGTGAAATCTTTCATAAACAAAGCATAAGGAATATTTTCGCAACAGCAGTAATCATTCCAATACCACATACATGCATCACACGTATGCTGCCGACAAGTTAAAAAAGGCTCTACTGCCTAAGCACAGAAACGCTGCTAGGAGAAAACTTGAGACGAAAAGCGAGTGGCATAGAAAGAAGTGATAGCAACAACAACATTCCCGCCATCCAAGACTGAGCAGCAAAAAAAACTTCCTCCTCTTCCTCCTCCTCCTCATCATCTGCATCGTCATCATCATCATCATCATCATTGTCAAACCAGCGTCGCTATGCGACGAGCCCAGAAACAGCCCCAAGCCACAGCCCTGAACCCAAACGCGTGAGCCATGAACCTTCAGCCCGTGGACAAGCACCTGAAACCCACACCCCTAACCAACTGAATTCGTGCCCCAGGGTCAGAAGAAGGAG